CATCTTCATCTTCATCTTCATCTTCATCTTCATCTTCATCTTCATCTTCATCTTCATCTTCATCTTCATCTTCATCTTCATCTTCATCTTCATCATTGTCTTTGTCCTTGTCTTTTTATTTATCTTTAACTTTGTCCTGTTCTTCATCTTTATCATTGGCTTGATCCTTCAATATAGGTTGTGAGTGACTGTGGCTTTGTCGTTGCCCTTGTTATACCTTTCATGAGCATGAAATGGTATTATAACTTTGGTCCGATGTTTGTAAGTACCAGAATAAGATGAGATAGGCCCATCAAAATGTATACTTAAATGACCAGAATATCGAGCTGAGTCGATTTAGCCATGCCCGTCTGTCCGTCTGTCTGTCTGTCTGTCTGTCTGTTTGTCTGTTTGTATGCAATCTAGTCTCTCAGTTAACGAGATATCCGGATGAAATTTGATTGAACTAATCGTCATAGTGTTTAGACGTGTTTTTATTTAGCTCTCGCTATGGATATTTTAACGTGCTCTAAGTGCTCGAAATCTTTACGTGTTGGCTATGAAATATCATGCCAAGTGTGCAAAAGTAAATTTCATAAAATTTGTGCTAAAGTTGATAGCAAAGAAGTATCCGACTTACTTGCAAATAATAAAAACATTGTTTTCAACTGCAACAATTGCTTTAGCTCAACATCGAATTTAGTTTCGGCTATTGCTTGCCTTACCAGTGAGGTCAGTGATCTTAAACGATCGATAGCAAAATTGATAAGTGGCGAATGTAAAATTGTTAGTGCTGCGCCTGGCTTCGTCTTGTCTGCTGATGCTGGTGTGCTGTCGCCTGGTGTCACTGCTTTGGATGATTCGGCTTTTTCTGCCGACCATCGCTCATCTATGCTTGCTGTTGTTGCTGATAAGCCGTTGTTGGCTCGTACGAATTTCGTGACAAAAGCACCGACCGTACCAACTGATGATGATTCTAATGCTGCTAACACTCAGCTACCTGCTAAAGTCAGTTCTCAGACTGAGAATACTCTTCCAAAGCAATGCAGTTCTCAAGCTGTTGTTGGTGATAATACGACTGCATCTACCTCTTCGACTTATGCTACTTCTGCACTTTCGTCTACGTCATCTTCGTCCTCAGTTTCTGCTGGCATACATACTTCTGCAGCTGATTGGAAAATTGTAGAGAACAACAAAAAACGCAGTTCTCAGACTAAGAATACTCTTCCAAAGCAATGCAGTTCTCAAGCTGTTGTTGGTGATAATGCGACTGCATCTACCTCTTCGACTTATGCTACTTCTGCACTTTCGTCTACGTCATCTTCGTCCTCAGTTTCTGCTGGCATGCATACTTCTGCAGCTGATTGGAAAATTGTAGAGAACAACAAAAAACGCAAACATTTGATTATTACTGGTAATAGCTCTAATTCTGATTTGGAAGTGGTTGAAGTAAAGAAATGGTTTCACTTATCGTCGTTCCTTCCCACTGTAACCGCGGACAATATAATTGACTATGTTGTTAGGCATGCTGGTATAGATAAGAAATTTATTTCATGTTATTCATTAGTTAAAAAACAAACTCCGGCTGTGAATGTAAAGCGGGTTAATTTTAAGTTAGGTGTATCTGTTGCGCTTTACAATAAGGTGCTATCACCTGATATCTGGCCTGCCAATGTAAGTCTGCGCCCTTTTCGTTTTTTTCGAAAAGAAGAGAATCAGCAGCGAGTAATATAAATAATAATAAGGCTACTAGTGGAAGTTCGAATTTGAAGGTGTATTTTCAGAATATATCTGGCCTTCGAACTAAGTCAGAAGATGTTCGTATATTTAGCTCTCAATTGGATTATGATATCTTCGTCATTGTTGAGACGTGGTTACATCCGAATTTTCTTGATGATGAATTTTTTGATTCGAAACTGTTCAATGTTTATCGAAAAGATAGAGATCCGGTAAAAACTGGCTGTGTAAGAGGTGGAGGAGTTCTTGTTGCAGTTCAACGGAAGCTGCTTTCTTATTTTGTTGCTCTTGATAATAATGACTCACTTATTGATCAAATTTGTATATGTGTCAGTGGTTCCTCCTCCAAGGACTCTCTTTTCTTTTTGGTCTCTTATATTCCCCCAAATAGTAATGATTATCTTTATCGTGCGCACGCTGATAACATAAGCTCTTTAGTCCTGAATAAATTAGGTAATAATCATTTATGCATTTTAGGTGACTTCAATTTATCCAATATTTCATGGTCCGCTTCATTTTCTAATTTTGGCCTCACACCAACTAATGTTACAGCATATCATGAATCATATTTGCTTGATAGTTTATTAAGTTTCAATTTAGTGCAAATTAATAATTTTGTTAATAAATTGGATCGTATTCTTGATCTTATCTTTATTAGCGACAATATTAACTGTAAAATCGAGGAATGTTACTTTCCTATCTCTCGTTGTGATAAGCATCATGTGCCTTTAGTTCTCAATTTTCAGTTTTATAATTTTTTTACTATACCTTCTGCAGAAGTACTCAGCTTTAACTATTCTGCTTGTAATTTTTCAGAATTAAATAGTTTACTATCTGATATTGATTGGGAATGTGTTTTGGCTAGCCCCGATGTGTCTACTTGTTTTACTACTTTTAAAACTATCGTGCATCAGTTTTGTGTAAGTAATATACCAGTTATTAAAAAAAGGAGTTATAAGCTACCTTGGTATAATTACGAATTAAAACGGTTAAAGAATCTAAAGAATAAATTCTTTAAAAAGTTCAAGAAAACGGGAAACCAGATCTTCTTTTCTCAATATCAAAAACATCTAAAGAAATTTAATTGTTTAGATAAATTCCTTTATAGAAATTACATACTTAATGTTGAATCAAATATAAAATCTAACCCGAAGACTTTTTGGCAGTTTATTAAGTCGAAGAAATCTAGTTCCGGCATACCTTCTGCTGTTTTCTTTCATGACAAATTTGCTCGATGTCCAGTTGATGTGGCATGCCTGTTTGCGGAATTCTTCAGCTCTAACTTTAGTTCTGATGACGGCGCTTCCCAACCAGATTGTGATTTTGCGGCGACTTCTTCTCTTAATTTTGGGTCTTTAAGTTTGTCGTCTAATGACGTTGCGAGTGGCATTTCCAAACTGAAACCGTCTGTAAAAACTGATATTGATGGTTTGGCAGGTGTATTATTGAGAAACTCTCCCTCTTTAATTTTCCCATTGAAACTGATATTTAATAAATCACTAGCTTCTGGGGTATTTATTGATGATTGGAAGATGACTTCTATTGACCCTCTTTTTAAGAGTGGGAATAAAAGTGACGTATGTAATTATCGGGCAATATCAAAGTTGTCTTTGGTGTCAAAACTCTTTGAAAGTATTGTAGTAGAAAAAATGTATTTTGCAACTAAGGGCTTAATTTCACCCAATCAGCATGGCTTTGTGTCTAGTCGCTCAACAGTCTCTAATCTAACTGTTTTTACTGAGTACTGCATTGCATCTTTTTCAAGTGGATATCAAGTTGATTGTGTTTACACAGATTTCTCGAAGGCTTTTGATAAAGTTTCACACTCGATATTAGTTAGGAAGTTAGCATGTTTAGGTTTTCATTCCGACTTTTTGCGTTGGATTAAGTCTTATTTAAGTAACAGACGATGTGTTGTCACCATAGATGGAACAACTTCAGAACCTTTTATAGCCTCCTCTGGGGTTCCTCAGGGGAGTATATTAGGTCCATTGCTTTTTGTTTTATTCATAAATGATGTAAGTACTTGCTTCACTTTTGCAAATTTTTTGCTATATGCAGATGATTTAAAAATATTTTCGATCATAAAGAGCTCATCTGATGCGACAAAGTTTCAAGCTGAAATTGATAATCTGCATCGTTGGTGCACTAAATATTGTCTTTCTCTGAATGTTAAAAAATGTTTTAAAGTCACCTATGCAAAAATTTGCAATATCGTGGCTACGTCTTATAGTATATCTACTACAATATTAAATTCTGTTAACGAGATCAAAGACCTTGGCGTAATTTTTTCTTCAAATTTTTCTTTTAATAGCCATATTTGTCATATTGTTGCAAAAGCTTACGCAATGCTTGGATTTGTGAGGCGAAATAGCAAAAGTTTTTCTGACCCATATACCCTCAAATTGTTGTTTACGTCTTTTGTTCGCTCTAATTTAGAATATGCTGCAATTATTTGGAGGCCTTTCCATAAAAACATGATAAATCGAATTGAACGTGTTCAAAAAGTCTTCCTAAAGTTCGCTTTGCGCAACTTAAATTTTTCCGAACCATTACCATCTTATAGTTCTCGCTTACTATTAATAAATCTTAAGTCTTTGGAGATAAGAAGATCTGTTCTCTCTTTGTCTTTTACGTTTAATATTATTATTGGTGCTACGGACTGCCCCATTCTTTTAGAGAAAATTAATTTCAACATTCCTCGGTGTAGCTTACGATTTTTTCCCCCATTTTATGGGGATAATCACAAAACAGAATATGCACGTAATGCCCCTATTGCACGCGCAATTAATGAATTCAATATGATCTCTAAAAATGTAATTATTGATTTTTCTTGTTCGATAAATGTTTTCAAAAATCTGTTGAACTCAATTTTATAAATTTTATTTCTTTAATTATCAATTAAGTTGAATTTTGTTAACTAGTCTGTAAGGAACTTTTGTATGTTCATAGACTCAATAAATAAATAAATAAATAAATAAGTGGGTGTATTTTTATAATGTATTAATCATTTGTCGGAACCGTAGGAATCGGACCACTATAAGATATAGCTCCCATACAACTGATTGTTCAGATATGAGATTTTTCGTTATAACTTCTACATTTATGTAGCTAGGAGCATGATATTTTGCAATACTTCCACCCAATATCAATAGAAAATTTAGAGTGAAAATTACAAAGATCGGGTCAATATAACCTATAGTTCCCATACAACTGATCGTTCAGATGTAAGATTTTTCGTTATAACTCCTCCATTTAAGTAGCTAGAAACATGAAATTTTGGACAGCTAAAGTCGATAAATTTCGTAAGTTATTTTATAAATAATAATACAAAGTCTACTGAGAAAATCGGTTTACATACCGATCTCACAGCAGTGAAAATCACTTAGATTGGTGCTATATAAGGTATATCTTCCATACCTCTTATTGTTTAAATATGATTTTTTATATATGTGTGTATCTCCTTTATCTATGTATGCTGTGAATATATAAATTTTTTCAAATGCAGTAATCTGTTAAAGTAAAATTTTCAGATGTTCATGAAAGGTATGAAGCCTTCGGCATAGCCGAAGACAGCGCTGCTCTTACTTGTTTTTGTTTCTGCCCTTGCATCTTGCTCTCTGTATTTTCATTACCCACTCCACAGTGGCGTTAAAAGTTCAATGTAGCCACCCCTATCTATTCACACATACGCATACGCATACATACGCAAAAATTAAATTTTATTTTCTGAGCAAAAAATAAAGCTCAAGAAATAACGATTATTTTCCGAGCAAAAAATAAAATTTAAAACGTAACGATTATTTTCCGAGCAAAAAATAAAACTTAAAACGTAACCATTATTTTCCGAGAAAAAAATAAAACTTAAAACGTAACCATTATTTTCCGAGCAGCTGAAATTGATAATCTGCATCGTTGGTGCACTAAATATTGTCTTTCTCTGAATA